TACCTCACGTTTTTCTCAACTGCTGATTTTATGGCATAATAAATAATACAAACTATGCATGTTTCTTGGATTTATGCAGTATGTTTGAAAAGAACTGTTGCCTCTATTTAAATATAGATACTACATTCACTTACTGATGTTCCTATCAATAAAGACGTCATATTGCAAAGCATATGACACAATAATTTAAGAAATTGTTTTCTTTCTGACGGCCTGTTCAGTAGCCTGTTGCTTCACTGAGTGCCTCTGGGAAGCTGAGTTTGGCTCTCAAAGTTTAAAAAGCACATTCTGAAGATGAACAAAAAACAGCATAAAAATGTGAAACTGGCTTTTCTGGAAGCACACACACCATTGTTTTATGATGATTTTGCCAATACTAGCAGCACTGCTCAAAAGTTTTCTTTGGATCTCTCTGAGGCTATCAATTTTATCTTTCAATATTGGTCTAGAGGGTGGTATAAGCTTGAGATTTAGATTGAAATCTTAAATATGTATGCAAATGCTCATACCTTTCTATAGTATTGCAGTATTCTTCCATTGACTGAGAAATATTCTTTGTTATCTAAGTGTTGTTCTAAATACTAAATTGGCCTTGTTTCATCATGGACATACCAAAGAAAAGGGATTTCAATACTCGGCATAGAATACTTTAAAAATGCATGAGGCAAAATAGTGATACACACTGTCTGGATGACCTGATAGATAGTGGTTTCTCTGTTACCTGAAGTTGCACCTGAAAGTGATGTAATTATGGACAGTAATATTTACCTGGTAGGTGTGAGCCTCTGCAGTCCCAGAATTGAATCTTTGCCCTTTTTCGGTGACACAGATTGTAGCTTGATGTGGCTATTCACGTTTTTACATTTCTCTGAGTTTTAATGTCTTCTACAGAGTTTGTTGTTGTCTGAACATCATAGTAAAAAAATACTTCTTACACTACCTTAAAACTTTGGCAGGCTCTACATTTGTACATAGCACCAGCTTTATCCTCTAAATTGGTAAATGCAGAAGTTAAGTAGCTGTGATTACTGTTTGTGGTATACCATTCTCCCTCAACTGTATTTCTTCCTCTTCTGAACAGAGTATTTATTTTATAAGGAGCTTAGGTGGGCTACCATTGCATTCTTGTGCATATCTGTGCTCGATGCATTGGTTTTGCCATTATGCAGCAGATCGAAATTCAGCAGCAGAGCCAGAGGCAGATGTTCCGCTTCTGCCTATCAGTGGAAGAAAGTCTTTGTTACCTCTCCCCAACACTGTACCAGCTCTGTGTTGCCTCAGTAAAACTCTGGGAACTACTATTTGAATTTCAGAATTATTTTCTAGGCATCTTGTTACATTATTGGTGTCACATATTCTTATAGAGTTTATAGTTGCTCTTACAGCTGGGCAATAGTGGCATTCCAGTGTCTTTTTCTAGGTTGCTAGACCTTAGAGATTCAAATACCTTTTCAAAAATGCTATATAAGTGCATGTAAAGTTCTGCTCATTGTGCTTCCATCTTCAAAGTGTGTCAACAGAGAGAGACATTTCTGTTCCAAATCTTTGGACTTCTATATCTGAAGATCTGATGCTTGTAATTGTCTTAACAAGCATCATGTCCACGACAAGCATCATATCCACAAATCACTTCCTGTTGAAAAGAGAGAAATAGGCTTCTGTATATGGTTTGCTCATAGGTCAGCCTCATTTCTTATAAGAAGAAAGTGTGTGTATTAGAGCAGACCAAGTATAAAATTATTAGGCAGAGAGAGTGAGACTCTTGTGGTTATGACATAAGTGTATGTCTCAAAAGATGGAAAGGAACAGTTGAGAACTAGAAATGAATCTGCAACCCTTCCACTGATTTGTGTGCTTTTTCATTCATACATATTGAGTACTTTTCCCACTTGAAAGTAATGCAACTGTCCTTAACTCGTGCCAGTAGATATTTTACATTGGACAGTTACGGCATGGATACAGCATGTGAAATTAAGTTTCTTAAAGAAATGTTAATCCAATATTTTTTTCCTCATGTGGGTCTTATATGATTCTGTCTGTGATTGTGAAGACATTGCAAGTAAAATAATATATTAGGCAGGTTAGTTAAATAAGAATCTAAACTGAAAAATAATCAGAAAACATTAATTTGGTTTAATTGTACAACGTAAAGGTGGTATTAACACATGATTGTGTATATAATTTTGTGGTTTGATTAAAAACAATTGCATGTACTTATTCTTAGTTTAGGTGATTCCAATTGTCTCTTGAAGTCTTTCACTTCAGTGAAGCAAATGGGATGTGGTAGACTTGAGTTCCAATCTTCATTGCTCATTTCGCTTTGACCGATGGGTTTTCTGCAAGCATGGGTTAACAAGGCTCCTTGATATTATTTTACGTAGTAGGGCTATATAATTTTAAATATAATCATTTCAGAATTGATTGCTTGTTGATATTACACAGTGTTACCACTATTAAAACAGTCTTTGAATTGTAAAGCTTAATTTATTAGCCTTCATTTAAAATATTTGAGAAGTGAATTAGTGAATGCTGTTCAGAAAGGATTGTAAATATCATTTAGATCTACCAAAACTGAAGCAGAGTCCAGCTTCCAAGTAATTTTTTTTCAGTTGTTTATAACTTTTTTTTTAGTGATTCCAGAAGCCAAGGGGGATTGCAGAGGAAATACGATCTTGCCAAATTTCTTTTGGCTGTTTTAAATGTAATTTGGTTCAAAACATGTTTGGAATTGCATTACAAGTTAAAACTTTTTTAAAAATACAGCACGTAATATCTGCACTAGTACAATTTCAGAAGTGTTGAAATTACTTTCTTACTGCGTAGCAATCACTTCCAGCAGTTGGTAAGAAAAATAACCTGAAGAGTTTCTTTCCTCCCTGTTCTTTCTCTTCACAGTTATACTGGTTGAAACCTTTTGCTAACTCAGCTGGCACTCCGGCATTTTCAAAGACATTCTGGGAATGTCTTCCACTTGCAGAACAATGAGAATAGCTTCAGTGTCTGACCTGTTGTGTGCACTGGGGAATGTGTCACTCTTGAAACATAGCTACCTTAGGGAGGCAGCTTGGCAGTAGTTATAATGGCCAATGATGCTACAAAATTTACAATGGCAAACGAAGAATATTATATGTGATAGAAACGGGAGGGTTATTTAGATAGGCATAATATACTGTAGTTACTGAAGTATAAATGACTGTGAAAGAAAGGCCCAGATTTTTCGCAAGCTGTGTCTGCTATATACCATACGTTGTATTTAAAGGAGACAGAATCAGGGTAAACAATCGTAGGCAGCTCCCTGCAGAAGGTGAGGATGTGTGGGAGACAGGGAGACAAAAATGACCAGATAGTCATTCTTACTCGGAGAATGGGGGATGTGACAGGAGTGAAGGAAGCTGCCCCACACCACTGGAATGACTTGCTCTTTTGGTCACTTGGGGATACTAAAGGCAGCCCTAAGCCCTGCAAGCTAACACTGCTTTAGTCATCTTTGCTCTTATCTGGAATACCTTTGCTTTTCAAAGTAATTAATAATCAAGACCCAGAAGTAAACAGTCCTTCTTTGCTTTTTTTTAAGGAAAATGGTCCTAGCTGAAAGGTGACACATTCACAAATGCAGTGCTTTTGGTCTCAACATGGATCATGAGTTGGTTCATGTCACAGAGGCACAGGACTGTAATTTCCTGGCTTGCCAAGTCCATTCCTGAACAATTGTCAGCAACTGTATCTGATAATTCTGTTTCAAAAAACTCACTATCACAACTCAGCTTCAAAGGCTGAAAACTATCTAACTTCTGTTTGCATATATTTAGGGAAGTTTGCAAAACCAGAATTTGCTGGTATTCAGTGTAACCCACTCTGTGACCCTCCTTAGCAAAGGAAATCTGGTGAGATCTTAGCCTGGAGTCAAAATAGTAGTTTCCCTCTTTCTGGTTTCATTTGGTCTCCCAGGGAGAAGTAATAGTCTCCCATGTGACAGGGGGAGAAGGAGATGTTCACCTTAAGGACATGCACTGAAAATAAATCTGAAACACATTTCCTTGCACATAACCCAGCTCTCTACCTTGAAATTGCCCTTTGGATTTTAGAGTGGTTGCAGAAAGTCTGTGGGCAAGTCTTGGGCTACTAAGACCGTCAGATGGCTTATACTGTTCTTGAGATTCGTTTCAGTAGAAGGTGCAGGAAATATAGGTTTAATTCTTTTATTCAAACTCAGTAGATGGTTTGGGACAATTAATTTCCAATTGTTTCCCAGTAGAGCAGATTTACTTGTATATTAATGAGGCACAGGTGTTAGGCCCCTGGTGCCTGCATGCCTGGGAGGCATATTTAGGTTGTTTATCTAGTCAGCCATAGGTACTGCAAGGTACTCAAGCTTGCCTTTAACAGTTTATACAGTGAGGCTTTTTAATTTTTTGATGTTTTTTTAAATTTGCTAGCACCTGTTAAAATTTTAAAACTGATCATGTAGAAAAAAGTAGGAGTGATTTCAATAGTAAATAGCACTAAATGCTAAAGAAAGTCATCTTCTATGATGCTTAACTGCCCAGCTTGACATTAAGAAGAAAAGAAGGTTCATTTAAGCAAATACGTCATGTGAAGAGCTAATACAATCAACAGTATACTTTTCTGTTGCATATTTTTGGAATAGGTACTTCTTTGTCTACAGCTGAAACATGAATGTGCTTATATTAATATTCATTTTTCTTGTTTATTCACTGAACTGCAGTACCAACATTTTAGAGGAAATGGAATAGCCTCCATAGACATTATGAATTTCAGTAGCTGGCATAATTATAGCGATCTACATATTCATTAAATCCAAAGAAGAAATGTGTCCAAAAAAACAGCCATGCGTTTAGAAGTGGTACACAACTAAATATATACATTTTTAAAAGTTCCTTTCCTCTGCTTATCCAAAATTGTGTAGTGTCATATAGTCCTTAAATCAGCTAAGGCTTTTTTGGGGGGGGGTTAAATGTTCATTCCTTTTGCTTTTGCAGTAAAGAATGGGAAGAACTATTTGTAAACAACAATTACTTGGCAACTATACGGCTGAAGGGGATTAATGGGCAGCTGAGAAGCAGCAGGTTCCGTAGTGTTTGCTGGAAGGTAAGAAGAGAAAATATTTATTTACAGTTTGTGGTTGCAATATATCAACACATTACCTGATGCGCTGGAAGATTATTGATGCAAAGAATCATGAATTTTCCAAGAGACTTCATCCTAATGTTTTCCTACTCATTTTTAGAATTCATAGGACATTTGCTAACCACATTGAGTTGCTTTAAAGCTGAATTGCAGGTGATAGCAAAAGCTTCCTAGGAAAGAATATCTTTGTGCTGGTGATATGTTTAGAATTGAGTGCCACACAGCCATGTCTCCTCTCAGTATCTGTGCAGTGAAATCATGCACTGGAAATAGAAAGGAAATTTGCCTAAAAAAGTATTTTTTTATGGAATTTAGGAGTGCTTTAAAATCAGTCTGATGCTTCTAGCAGGTTTTCACAGTTAAATGAGAAAATGAAGAACAAACCTTCTTGTAATGACTGGATGGAGAGGGAAGTCAGGTCTTCCAAAAACACAACAGGTCTCTGGGAATCTCATACTCTATTTTTTTGAGTTGCAGGGGAATGATGAGAGATAGAAAGCAATGTAATACTGAGATGCTATAAACAAATTTTGTTGCACTGCCATCAGGTCTTCTGTTGTGCTCAAACTCTGATAGTAGAGAACATTTTCCCTAGTAGAGTTGCTGTGTGTTAACACTGATCATTTAAATTACCTCACTTGGGATTTCTCAAGCATCACTTTGGCACAGGGATCTATAAAAAGAAATTTAAAATACTCTTTGTATATGAATTAAAGAAATTTGAAAATGGAAATTTGAAATGTATGTGGCATTGAACTAATTTAAAGTTGATAAACTACTTTTTTTGGGAAGCCAGGTGAATATACGTCACTAGCATTGTTTCACCAGTTTGCATCTTTTTAAGCCTCAAAATTAGGAGGCTTAAAACCCTGAACTAACAAAGGCATCAAGTCCCTCCCTATCCACTAATTAAATCAAGGGGTGTTTTTATTTTAGAAATAAGACCAGCTTCATTTGCATGTCCCAGTTTGGGTTAGGGCTCTGTTTTAAAAATATTATCTATTTTTTTTAATGCTGAGATTTTAAGGGGGTTTTAGTAATTTAAGAATGGGTTTTTGTTTGTCAGTATTTACTGTTTCTTAACGCTACAATGTGCAACTAAAAACATTCTCTTGTTTAATATGCAATTAAATAGTATTTTCCAATAGAAGTTTCTTTTTAACCCTTTTGAAAGAGACATGAAAGAACTGAGGTGTAGAATTGTCAAGGAAGTTTTGCAAAATTGACTCTCTTAACTGTCTTGCAGAATTCTAGAACATGTTTCTGTTCTTAACTAAGGTATATCAATGAGTGCTTAGTTTCTGCTCTGCTTATTCATGTTTGGGTTTAAGTACCTTGCATTAGGTCATCAGTGCTATGTAAATTGCTTCAAGTTTTCTGTATTTGTTTTCATTGCTTTCCATTTTGTTCCCTCCTTGGAAGTCTTAATCAACTTTACTGAAGTTGACAGTTTACAAAGCCTGAGTTTGTGGCTTCAGTTGATTTTGGTGCTTTATTTTGAACTGTAGAACTACTATTGTTTCTAACTACTTATTTATGGACTGGAAAGTACTAAAACCAGGAGTATTTTATAGGTCTTTGCTATCTCTTTCTGAGATAGTTTATGCTGTCTGGTGGGATTTATATTAAAAGCTATGTAAAATTGATGAAACTTAATGGATTTGTTTTGTTTGTTGATAGTTATTTCTGGAGGTTCTACCCCAAGATAGAAGTCAATGGATTAAAACCACTTCAGACTTAAGAACTTCTTACAATAAGATCAAAGAAATTGTAAGTTGGTATAAAATACATTCTCTACTCTCATACTTTGATGTAGATATTAATACTTAGAGTATAACAGAAGAGAATTTGGTGGTTTTTTTTCTGTTTTTTACCCAGCACATTACAAACCCTCGAAAAGCAGGACAGCAAGATCTGATAATCAACAACCCACTCTCTCAGGATGAGGGGGTAAGTTGACCCTTGGTTCTGTCAATATGTGCTTCTAAATTCTCATCCTCTTCATACTGACACAAGTGAGGTCTTGCTGAAGAAGGTAAAATGGCAGGTTCAAAAATCTCCCTCCTAAATGTCCAAACTGACTTGTGTTAACAATTGGTTGACAGGTTCCACTGAACAACTAGAAATGCTCATTTCTAGGTTGATATTCTGATTTTTCAGGGCTTATCTTAGGGCAAGCTGTGATAAAAAATTATTGCTGGACCGTAAGTCTAGTTCCATAGCATATCCTTTCTTTAACTGATATGCTTTTTTATCACTGTGTGTTTTCATTTTATACATAAAATGGCTCTAGTTTAAGGAGTATTTAAACTGTCAATATGAAGGGAATGCTGTTAACAACAAATATTGAAGTACTCTCCTCTGGAAGACTGTTCAGCCTTGGAAGGTTTTTTTCTGCATTTTGTGTTACCTGAGAAGTTCTTGAGTATTTTGTATTTTTGTATAGCTTTAAGCTTTTCTGTTTATTTTGTTACCACCAAAATTCTTTTTTATCGAATTTCAAAATAACTTAATGCCATGAAAATAATCTGAAATTATGTTTGGCTGCGTTTAAGAGATTTACACCTGGAAAAACCGTCACAGGTGTCTTTGGTGATGCTACTTGTCCTTCCATTTTGTTCACAAAAAGAAGCCCATCCTTTGTAGTGTGGTACTGTGCTTCTTACTTAATGTAGAAGGAGAGAGATATTTTCTTGTTGAAACATAGAAGCATGGCTCATAAGCACTCTGGTGGCTCTGGAGCTGGTATGACTGCATGTCATCAAACTGTCCTTGCATCCAGATGGACAGAAAGTTGTGTTAAATGTGAAAGATTGTGTTTCTGCTGTAGTTTGGGATTATACAGAGTGGCACAACCTACGTCTGTGATGTCTTTAGGAGACAGAAGACAAAGGGTTACATGTCAGAGTATGTAGCAGGGGTTTAATATATAAAACATAGGCCAAACCGGGCACAGGAATGAAGAACAAAGTGCCTTTGAGCCTCTGCTAAACCTACTTAAAATTCTTTTAATAATATTTGTTGTAGTGCTGACAGTGAGCTTTAAATACCCTGGGTTTCCCTCTCAGAGTTTTTCTAAAATGGCCAGTCTTGATCTGCACTGTGTATTAGAATAATGTCATTTTCATAGTAGGTCTTTGATCATCATACAGTCCTTATTTGATTTTGCCTCCCCTAAAACAAACTAGCTTGCTTCCAAACAATTTCTTATTGTGGATATTACAGTAGCTTCCAATTAAAGTCTGTACATTCATAGGAGAAATGTGGTACAGTCCGGTGATATGGACCTTTTTCTGTGAGTGAACAACTGATTTTTTTTTCAGTTGAGTTGCTGGTTCTGGTAAGTTTGAATTTACTCTAAGTAGTCTTCGTAGATGCTTTAGAAGTAGTCACAGACCTGCAGCCATCCAGTGAGTGAATGGAGTGAGCCTACAACAAGGATCCAGGAACCTGAATGGTTTTATGTCTGATCTAGCATTACTCCCTCAGATAGGTTGTGTTAGTCATGAACATTCTTTATCATCCATAAAATACCAATATACCTATCTACTAGGAATGTTGAGGATTAATTAGTTAATATTTATACAGTATTTTGCTGGTGTAATATATAAGCCTTACATATTAATAGTCCCTGTTTCATACAAATGTTTTTCCTTATTTCAGAGTCTTTGGAATAAATTTTTCCAGGATAAAGAGCTTCGAGCAATGATTGAACAGGATGTGACAAGAACGTATGTAGATTTTTAAAGAAATTTCTCTATATAAATTTATATTCTGCATTTTTATGTGGTATACATTATATTGTGTTTTCTTGACTTCGGTTACTAGAAAGGTCAGGATTGTTGAACATGAATGTGTGGAAACATACATTAAATGTATAAAAATACAGCTTTCTTAGGGTGAAAAATGAGAAATTCAAGCTGAACATTAAATCCTGGAGATTTATTGGTATCATTGAAGAAAAGCTCTTCTAAATTAAGATATTAGGAGATGTACTACTGTGTGAAATTTAAAGTAGTTTTCAATATGAAGCAAAGAGAAGGTAAGAGAAACTGAAAGGTCTTTTAACTAAATTATGATCATAATAAAAGATTGAACAGATGACTTTCTTAATTCTTAACACTTAATTCAATCAATAATAAAAAAGCAGTTTGTAATTAGTAAGGGAAATGCCACTCATCTAGAGACATTGAGCCGTTCTATTTTTATTTATCACTTTTCTAGCACTATTTGTCACATATGTCTTTTAAAATTTGTCCTAATATTACTGTGATTGTGTTTACATCTTCTTGGCCCTTAGGTCATTCCTGTTTAGGAACTTGTTTGAGTTGGAACACTTAGTTCCTGAAAACATTTTTTTTCAGAGTGGAAGTATTGAGTGATGTGTAAATGTAATTAAATTCAATTACTGGTTTGCTACCATGTGAAATTTTACTGTATTGCAAATATTTTTCCTTATAACTTGAAATAAGTGGTGATAGCCATAGATTTTGCAAATCCCAAGCTCACACATTTTCATTTACAGAAGTCAAGTCATGCAGAAGAAATCATTGCTGTCTGGTTTTGGAATATTTTATATGTCCGTCCCTAGACCCAGTCTTGTATGCATTTTGCCATGAGATATATAATTAAAATCTGAGTATACTTTCATGTGCATTCTCACAACAGATGGTATTTTTTGTTTGTTAAAGGAAACAGTTCAGGATGTTCTAAGATTAAAATATATACGTATCTAAACTATAATTGGAGAATGAAAAGTTATATGGAGGTTATGGTGGATGTAAGACTATTATTTAAATAAATAGATATATACATACATACACAAAGTCTGGGCTCTCACTCTGGCAAGTGGCAGAGTACTATTCACTAATATCAGTAATAGTGACTATAGAAATTTGAATTTATTTATTTATACAAAATGTCTACTTGAAACAATAGCAGTATATACTGCCATCAGTAGTAAAAGAAGTCAAGCAATAAAGAAGCAAAATTTATCAGTGATGAGAATGTATTTGATAAACTACATGTATTTCTATGTACATTTGTTGTTTTACATAGTCTGCATTTTACGTGTATGCATATATCTGTTTGTAAACTTTCATTAGTGTAAGAAGCAGCAACTTCCACTTTCCTTGGCTTTGGAATGTAAATACCCTCTCTTTCCATTTCCATTCTTTAAATAAATTCCTGAAGTTAGAATTTTAGAAGTTTAAAATTCATCATTAATTTGAAATGGCTTTTTATTGAAGGTTAAAATAATTAATATATTCAACTACCATAATCATTACCTTCTAGCTTGTTTCTTATTTAGCAGATATTTTTATGTTCTTTGTCATCTAGTTCAGTCCTTCATCATCCAGCAACATCAAGTAAATAATGCTGTAGAGTGAAGCCAGCTCCACACAGGGTAGCAAACCAGAGTCCCAGCTATCAAAGCAGTAAAACATTTACTCTATGTTTATTAAAATTCTCTGAAGTGTAGTAACAATAGACAGGAAAAATGGGTAGAAATATGCTCTTAAAATTGGTATTGTTTTAAATTGGTTTAAATTTCAGTATTTTGTTACCTAAAAGGAACTGTGATCAAGTTTGTTTGTTTGTGTGTGTGTGTGTTCCTATGCATTTTGAGACTCCTTATCTCACCTAATAATTAGATCCGTAAAACCTAGATACAGCTGAGCTAATCATGCTTTAGAGTCCATGTACCTGTAGAATTCTAGAACACAAATCATCTCTTCCTAAAGTAAAAGTCTAGTACAGGTCTGATAAATCACACCATAGAGAGGAATGTTTTTCTATAATAATTATAAAAGGCTTCTAGCTCACTGGTACCTCACAAAACTCTAGTCTCCTAAAGTCAGGTGAGAGAAATCCAATCCATAATGTCTACATACAATTTGCATAGTAATAACTTCCAATATTTACAAAGAAGGTAGGGAAGAATATTGTTAAGTTAGTCTTAACTCATTAGTGATCAACATTTCTCATGAATCAACTGATTTTTTTTTACAGTAGTTGAGAGGTTCAGAATGGATTTTTCTATAGCTGTCTAGAAACATGCTTTTGATTTGGAATCAAACATCGTGTCTTTCTGTCTCAAGTGAGAGGCTTTTAAAAATGAGCATGGGAAGGAGGGTAAGGGAGGCTTACTATAGTGCAAGTAAAGGCATTACTTTAAATGTAGATAGCAATTCCAAGTTATGACTATAATACTGCATTCTGCTGTTCCACTAAGAGAGGAAGGTGTGTATGAACTAGCGCCATAATAACTCATAACAGACTAAAGAAAGCAGAAATTGAAATCTAGCAGATTGGCACATGCAAGAGCAGTTAACTCAAACCATAAAATAAAAAGTAAAATAAAAAATAAAAATACCAGTTACTTGCTGGCATCACCTTATAATGTGGGATGGTAAATGGTTAGATTTTCATCACCCTCTTTCTCTCCCCAGTATTTTAAGAAATTAAAATGCTTAGGGGGCATTCCCAATCAAGTGAATTTCTTCTCTTTTCTAGTAGTATTTTTATATATTGGTCTACTTAGTTTCTCCTTCAGGAATAACAGTCACAGATTAGGACAATAGAAGCTGTGTGAATATGAGTAGTGGTGGCTGCTGCTGTTCCAAACTCTCCATCTCCCAAAGAACAAAAAAAATAAAAATTTTCAATCCAGCATAAAAAAATTAGTGGAGAAGCCTTTAGACAGTTACATCCTTCCTAAGCATATGGAAGAAACAGCCTTCCATTGAGTACAAATACAGGAGACAAAATCTAGTATCTATGTAAGAGTAGCAGCAGCTACAATGGAGAGCTTTTGCACACTAATATATTCCTTTGCAAGAAAAAAGTGAGCAATGGAGAGGGCAGTTATTGTTATTCTTTACCAAACCTTTGCAGTGGCAAGACAATCTTCCATTTTTTCTAGTTTAGTTGTTTTCCCCATTCCAAGCTTGGGGAATGGCAGGGGATAGAATCTGTTCATGAAGAAAAGATGGTCACCATGTCTGTGGTTAAGAGCCTCATTTCTGTCTGCCACCAAATTTGTTTCATAAAGTATTTTTGTGCATCCTGTTATTTGTTTGCCAGCCTAAGTTTTTTCTGTGTCACAGCCAGGCTGCCTCTGGTGTAGGGGCCCCTAAATCAGCTCAAGGAGTGCTTTAAAAATTTATAACTAACTCATGCTCATGTTTTCACTTTCAGAAAACAAGGAATTGGATGCACCATTGTTTAATTCTAGCAGTTGTGGTTAAACAGTCTAGCAAAATTCCAATGTCCTTATGCAGTCTCTCAGAAATGTAATTAAATGTAATATTCTCATGTTCATGAAAAGTATTCTTACCTTGCTGATTTAAGTATACCATATTTCTTAAAACAGAGTTTTAATCATAAAATGACATTCTCCATAAAAATCCATCCTGAACTGATAGTTTCCTCATGATCCCTTCTATTTACATTTACTATAATTAATACTTCAGCCAGCTTATTCATGAGTTCATTATTATCCTTTCCATCACAATCTCTGGTATTACTAGATCCTCACAGATATCTCTGTGTATTTTTGAGTTTTCTTTGTTAGCCTTCTCTTCCTGAACTTAATAGGGCAGGCCTGAATAACAGTCCTTCAGAAATAATCTCTTCAAACCCCTAAATTATGTCGATTGCCATCTGCTGTAATGCACTTTTGGTCTCAGCTGTGTCCTTCCTTTACAGTAATATGATTAGTACAAGTACATACAAGTTTCCAAATGTTGGTCTACCATTACCTACACCAGGTGCCAGGAAAACGTTACACCTCTCATCCCAGTGCCTCTCTCAGGACTTCAGCATTGCTGTGTTTAAGCCACGGTGTCCTCTCTGCCTTGGCTCTTGATTCAGGTCCTTCATCCAAGGATATCAAAGCACCTTTCTTGCCTTAATTAGTTCTGTTTCTGTGCTTACCTGTCATCACCTCTGAAATGACCACTGTAATCATCAACACTAATAGTCTTACCTGAAACAATTTATTATAATTTCCTATATTATTTCTCTGTGGCAAGTTTTACAACACCCTTAATACAACTGGTCTAAAGTATAGCATTGTAACTGAGACCTGGGAAACAGGAAAAAAACCAAAATTTGCTTGTAGAAATCTCTTCTTCAATCCATGTGATTTCATTTTAAAATTTACAATACCACAACCTTTATTTCAGCTGTCTAGTGTGAGGCCTACCATTGTTGTCTTTTTAAGTATTCTTCTATATTTCTTTGTCCAACTTTATCTTTTCATTCCTTTTTAGTATTCTGCCTTTCCAGGCTTTTTGGCTTTGTTATTGCTCTATATAGTTAGAGGTGGTTGCTTAATGAAAGATTTTTTTGCCATCTAGTTAATTCTTCAGTAACCATGAAAACACTTTTGTTTGTGCACTTACCCTACATCCTGCATAACCACTTCCATTTCCTGCCTCCAACAGTTGAGGAACAGGATGCACAGGTGAGAGTTGCTTCAAAGTAGTTACAGACTGGAAATATTTACATTTTCCTGGGGTTTTATGCATGTAACAGGATTTTCCCAGAAGATGTATTTCTTTATTCTCATACTATTTCACTTAATGGATATTTGCCCTGCCAGAGTATCGAATTATTTCATAACTGTAAGGTTTATTTGCAACAGCTATTAAAGATGTTATATCACAATAGATACCAGTAAGAGATGTTGGAGTGGTTTTCATGTCAGTTATGAGACAGTTTAGTAATCTTGTTATTAGACGATAATATTTTTTCAAATATTCATGAAATATTGAACCCTTGTGTATATGCTTGTTCTGACATACTCTCCATTCTTCCATTTCTGCCGTTTTATTTCATTCTTGCAGATCTGTAGCTTTCATAATATTTAAAAGGATTACTTTTTAAATATAACTGGTGATACCATCATACCTGTGTGTCAGACTGATGTATAATAAAGAACATGGTTCAGAATTTTGGTTGCAAAACAAATGTAACAAGTCTTTAGAAGCACCCACAATTCACAGTGTGATGGGAAAGCAGACAGAGGAGGTGCTGTCTTACCTAAAACCTTTTCTAGAAGACCAACAACTGACATTCTGTGCACTCTGTTGTTTACTTTCACTGTATTGCTTCATTTTCAGTTTTCCTGAAATGCAGTATTTCCAGCAAGAGAATGTAAGAAAGATTCTTACAGATGTTCTGTTCTGCTACGCCAGAGAAAACGAGCAGTTGCTTTATAAACAGGTAATGAAAATACTGTACAGGTGGCATTCATTGACTCAACATTTTCTATATGGTTTGACAATAATGTAGCTCTGTTGTATCTGAAGTTGTATTATAATGCTGAAGTAATCAAAGAGCTGCTTGTCAGCTGGATAGTGAGAAAAGCAAGCTCATTGAATAGCATATGCTTTTTCCTCATAACACAGCCCCTCAAATTGTTTTCTTTAAGGTTGCTAAGTTATCTAACTTCAAATTTCTTTATAAACATCTTTTTCTTCAGCATTGGTTAAGAAAGAAACAAAGGCTTTCTCTGCTTAGGTAAAGAAAGAAAGTATGCAGCAGGATTAAAAATGGTACTGCACAAACAAAAAGCATAAATAGTGACTTCTGAAATTTAGGCAAAGTTTACTCATTTAAGTTTTATGTAATACATTAAGTTCTTCCTCAAAGTGCTAAAGCCATGCAGTATGTAAGCAAACAGATCCTTTATCTGCTGCCCTGTAGCATCCAAATACAATGCAGCTGACAAAATCCTCTTGACTGAAGGCTAAGGGTGCTACAAAATACCACTTTTGCAGTGTTACCTGAAGGAGGGTCTGCTCAAACCATTTTTTATAAAATGGTAAATAAAGCCTTAAAGTTGCACTAGCTCTGTATCCATATGGGATGCAGTCTAAATTAATTTAACATTTGTTCTGAAGGTTTTGAAGTAAATATAAGCTCGCTTCTAAATTCACAGAGCAGGACCAATATGCAGCGTATCAACCTAAGTATATTTGTATTTGTTTCTTCAGACAGTTATCTGTAGGCTGAGTAGAGACTGACAAACCGAGGGATACTCTGTGTGCGTTGACAAAGGATAAACTGTAGAGCAGCCAACTTTAAGTAGACGAAAGATTTTTCATGACTAAAATACAGAGATGTAGTAAATGTGAAGGGTTTTGTAAGGCAATCTGTGCTTTCAGGCATGGTCTGTGACCGCTTTGCCCTCAAGTCAGGGAATAAGGATGTTTCGTGGAAACAAACAACACATAGGATTTGAAGAAACAGTTACTTCTGAAGAACTGTCTTACAGATTCTATCAAAAATTAAATATATAGTTATCCAGCATATGAAACATCTATCGGCTGGATATTTCTTGTGTTTGACAGACTGAGCAAGAAATAGTTTGCATGCAAACAATAAAAATGAGATCTGTGAGCTGTACTTTGAAGGGCACTCCTAAAGAAAACACTTCAGCTGTATTCAGCCTCCTCTTTCTAGTGAATATAGGCCAGAGTACTGATGATGGGAAAATGGAAGAACACATTCCAGCTAATTTAGTCTATCGTTTATTGAACAAGAAGTATTATTTTATTCTTTGATATGACTTAAAAGGACTTAATTACCCTCTGCTCATATTTAAAATCCTCTTGATTCCTTACCAAGAAATAATACCTTTCTATATAAGGATGGAATATTTAGCCAGATCAAATTTTCAAAAAAAAGAAAACCCTGCGTTTCATCACAAGCTGTTAAAGCTATTATTTTCTACTAGGTGACACCCCGTTTAACATAGACCATATTGTTAATAGTTATGGGATTTTATTGAATTAATGAGACTGTTATCATGTAGTAGAATGTCTTGCTGAGTTAATTGAAACTGCAGAGATTATATAAATGGTATTAATGAACTTTGACTGCCTGATGCCTCAGCTTTAATAAAGACTGCTTGGTGGGCTAAATGAACACAGGCAGATAAAAGAACAGGTTCAATTTTGCGAGCCTACAGGCTGTTGACAAAGAAAACTTCTTTACCTCCGTTTTCAACTGGTGTGCATTCAGTGGTGCAGCAATTCCAGGAAGGGGTTGCTACGGGGTGAGGAAGAGAGGTAAAATGCAGAAAATTAAATAAATTTAGGTCATGAGAAACTGTTGATTTAGTTTCTTTGAAGTGTGTGCACTATTTCACCCAAGTCTAATGGTGCTGTACCAAGTCCACAAAACAGCAAATGATTGTGGTTTTCCTCTCTTGTTGTGGACATGTTACTTTTATTAGGAGCTTTGTGTTTTTTCTTGCCTCATTTGAAAAGGGTGGGTTTGGTTTTTTTTGTTTGTTTGGGGTCTTTTGGAAAAAAAAATACTGCTCCTTTTAGCTTGTTAGTAACATCCTAAGTTTTTGTCCCCATGCCTTTCTCTTTGTAGATAACATATTTTTCATGTCCATAATCTGAATTAGCCAATAGGAAATAGTTTGTGCTGGCATCAGGATATTTTATTTGTTCTTTTTTCAGATACTGATCTTGTAGTCAGCCTTCCTGACCTACTGTATTTATTGGCTCCATTTTTACCATTGCCTCAAGCCCCACTTCCCATAATAATCAAAGCCTAGCATATTTTCAAGAAAATGATGAAGGCTACCGTTAATTCATCAGTAACAGATCACCTCCAGGTTGCTCTCTCCACAGTGACCTGAATACAAAGCCCAAATTAAGGGGTTTGTCTTCATATGCAATTTCCATCATGGGAACCGGTCCTATTGTCATCCAGTTCCTCTGTCTCATTTGTATGACCACATGCAAGAGCTACAATTGCCATTAGAATTATAAAACTTGGCCAGTGACTGAAGACTTGTACTTCCATCTGTCAGCATCTGTACAGGACCCAATGTTGATCTTTCAAAATATCTGGAAAAAGTTATAGTGCCTTGACAATTTGCATGCTTATAAATGTAAATAAAGTGTATCTGGAGTTTAGAACATTTTATTGAAACTATTACATAGCATCAGCATATAGTCTTACAAGAAGCAATCAATAATGTTTGCTTAATATGCATATATGCATGCAAGTTGTCTTTGTAGTAGGGTTTGTGGGGGTTTTTTGGCCAGCATGAAGTAACACTTTATTTGATGAGGAAAAAGATATTTCTGTCCCTAGCCAAATGGAATAGAATGTTGTGGAGCTGTATTACAGATTTTAAAGACAGAATCCTCACTGGGATCACTGAATTTTTAAATAGCATCTGTAAATATAAAATCTAAAGAGAATAGTATATTGTACTTAAGAATTTGTAAAAATTACTCTTAGAATTCTTCTGTTAGACTAGTGCCAAAATTCTGGGCCTAAGACTTCAAAGAAATAGTGAAAATTAAGCTAAATCACTAGCTAACTATTGTTTTTTCATTATTTAATTTCCCTTAGAGAAGTCAGTATAATTTTGAAATGCATTGATTCACTTTTCATTGTAGAAATGCTATCATTCTGGTTTTCTTTCTAAAACATAGACTGCATTATGAAATCAATATTTTGTTGTAGCTGGGAAGTGTCATAAAATTATCTGAGCTCTGTCAACTTATTTATTAACACTAAAGAGTTTTAGTAAACTGCAGCATTGAAAAAATATGTGTATGCATATTACACTGGTAGCTTTTCTTGCCAAGCTAAAAATCTCTAAACATTTGAAGTACTATTGTAACTGAAAGATCAGAGGTATCTTTTTGAAATCCTGATATTTCATCATGTGTTTGTTTTGGTTTTGTTATATGTGGGCAGCCACATTATGATTCTACTTTATTATAGAGTTGATATATTATTATGTTGGAAGAATGTGTGATGTGCTTTTATCTTTTATAACTAATTCTTATTTTATGTCCCTCTTTCTTTTTCTTCAGCTTATATGTTTACAGCTTCGGTGGTAGTTTTATTAGACAGTCAAGTTTTTGGCATTTCCATTTCTCCTATTTCAAGTTAGTATATCAGGGTGAATAAAAGATTAGACATGGAGCTGTTAATTAAACAAGGGCTGTGTGTGTGAAAGTACAACCCTGGTTATCTTCAGCTTATTTAAATATTTTTGCCACTTATATATGTCTAATCCTGGTCCTATCTCCCTGTTTAAGAAATCTGAACTTGTCAATTTGTAATCTAACCCATTCGTTGTGTTTTACGTCAGCTTCTGAAAACAAATGGCTATGTTTGGGGTTTTATTAATTTCCTAACTGAATTTCTATTTAGCCTCCATCTTTTGGAGCAGTCCCTAAAGGTTCAGAAATAGGAAGAGAAAGAAAATGTCCAAACTTCAGAAGTTTTGCTGTCTTTAGCTTTGAGCAATTAACTGACTGTTACTGCTGCAGCTCTACCGTTGAGGCTATAACAGTCATATCAGTCCTGAAGAAATTAAAATTAAATTTCCTAGGATTTCAGTTGATGGCAAACAGAGAAATTGTTAAAAGGGGTTTTTTTTTCCCCTCAACACTGCAAGGTATTGGAATTTCCTCTTATGAACAGATAAGATTCATTAACATGCATCCAAGCACACTCATAATAGTTTATGATCTAGAGAGGGCTTCCACATCTACCTCCTGGGTCACTTTGGACCACTGAAGGAAAATCCCTATTATTTTCAATAAAAGTTAAAGGTTTTTAGTAGTTAATGGATCTGTTTGATTTATATGAAGCTGATAAACTAAGTTACTGATATTGAATACACCTCAATTGCTACATGGAATATTAACTGATATAACAGCAAAGCAGCAGGGTAGCTCACAAGCCTGTAACACTTATATTGTTCATGTCTGTCTGTCACTGAAAGGGCAAGTGCAGAGGATTTATGGCTTGGAACTTCAATCATAAAAGCAGAAATGTTCCTATCCGGGGACCCATCATCTGACTCCTGACAGCAACCTGATACATTGATGAGCTTGATGGACCAGCCCCAGTACTTCTTCTGCCAACAGGACAGACAATATAATCTTTCCAGAACCATTGTCTGCTCAGAGTACTCACCTGGAGTTGGGACTTGGGCTTTACTTGACAAAATAGTTGCACCTTTGAGCTGGAGCACTGCTGGCAGCATGCTCTTCCTCCTAAGGACTCCAGCTGGAGCCAGTCCCAGCAGGGGAAACCTGCACACTTGGCACCATGCCCCAGCTGTAGCTGATGTTTTGGGGCTGAGCTCAGGAGTTCCCTCCCCTCAGAGTGATCCTTGTGTCCAGAGGCAGACAGACAGATCTCAACACTTCATCCCGCATCCCTTCCATCACCAGAGGGCTCTGCTCCCTTCTTTTGTATGGCTGACCCCCTGCCTCAGCCTGTAGCTTGCATAACTCCTACCTACTGTCCTAGTCCACCGCTGAGATCCCAACTCCCCTGACATAACCAAATTCCCAGTTATGATGCCGCAAATCCTTCCTTTCTCTCATCTAATTGAGGGAAGGGGCTGAATGTCTGCTGAAGATGAGGTCTCATTTGGCAGGCTGTAGTTTTACCTGCCAGTGCATTGCAGCTTGCAAACTGGGTTGCTTGTTTCCTGAAGTGGTTGCTTCTGCTTCTGACAAGAATTTGGCAAGCCCCAGGTGAATCAAGGCAAATCAAGACTCCTTTTGTTGCTGTTGAGCTCTGGGTAAAAGCACTGATGGCTGGCCTGGGTCATCCAGCCGTGCTTCTTATGCTAGCCCAAGTCCTCAGCTAGCCACCTGGTTTTTCTGTTCTGATTTCTGCATGTTTCTATAGTTTTTCTATCTTAATTTAGATTGCATATATAAGTAGTACTCTGCAATGGAACAGTACCAGGTTTCCCATGCATTGTGTTTAATGAGTTTATTTTGAATATTGACATGACAACTTAAAAATAAAGTTATTTTAATTCTCATGTCCTTAGGAATGGAAGTTTCATTTTCTGCTTTCTAAATAGCTGCCCTTGTCTCCTTTGAAGCAAACTGTTATACTTTTTCTCTATGGTTTTGGAACATGATAAAATAAAAAATAATTTTAAATTTTGTAATTTGTCCCTATTGCAGAGCTTTGTACTGTAGATCATGACTGTAATTATCATAAATAAAATTCATATTTATGAAAATAGATCTTGAAGTAAACTGCCAGGTGCAGAGTTGTCTACCTTTGCCAATTTGTTATCTGTTGTGTTAGAAGAGGGAGAATAACTTGCTTCTGTATATTATAGAAGAATAAACACTTGGATTGAATCACCATTTAAGATAAAAGCTATTGATTATGAAACCATTCTGTTAAGAACATAAATGTTCATGCTTTTAGTTACTCTGCACCTAGTATTGCTGTCTGCCTGATGCTATTCACTAGGATATGTTATATAAGTTATTAACTATTACAGGACTGGAAAATCTAAATATACTTTTGCTTTCTTTAATGTTTAGGGCATGCATGAACTTTTAGCTCCCATTGTCTTTATCCTACATTGTGACCACCAGGCTTTTTCACATGCCAGTGAAGCTGCACAACCAAGGCAAGCATTGTGTTTTATTTGTATAGTATTAAAAATCTGCTTTCTTAAAAAAATGAGTTGCTTGGACTAGAACTTAGAAATAGGTGTTCCTTAATTATTTGTTTATAATTAATAAACTGAGAGCAGAAATCACTACAACCTCGTGCTTTGATGGGAATGTCCTTATTTCATCTTTCCTACTAAAACTCCTGAAATGTAGACATTGGCCTCTTCACAGATATTACCTGGTGAAAAATGGGGAGACAAGAAACCTAAGGAAAACCTTAATCAAAAAGTTTACATACCTTCCTGCAGTTTCATCTCATTGCCAGAAGTGTTTTCATTTTTCTCATTGCAGAGAGGAGGCAGATCAGAGTACTGTGCTCATAGAATATGTTACCACTGACTTTCTTTCCTCATCTCTTAAAAGAAAAAATAATCAATGTAGACAAATTGTTATGATTGATATTTCTTTCATCACATGCTGTGTTCTAGCTGTGATAGTTGACTAGTCTTTGACTTGGTAGTGACTTTAACTATTGACTCTCCATGTCATTCAAACTGTATGTGTGTGCATGCAGTCATACACATACATGTGAAATATTACATCACACACCATTGTCTGTCAAACAAATTCAGATGCTTTTTTTCTTACCCTGTATGTAAAGCTTTTGGGTTTATTTTTTTAAAAATTGAAAACATGCAGCCCCACTAGTTTCCTTAATGTGATATTTAGGACATTTCTTTTCATTTGTATTTTTGCACTCTCTTTTGGAGTCCAGCAGTGGATAAAAGCCAATTTATTTATGTGTACTGTACAATATAACCTCTGTTAGTCTTTTTATTCAATGTCTGTTCTTAGATATCCTGAAATTGCCTCGAAGATGCTCTTAAGTGCTAAGTAACTTAAAATAACCATGTGTTATGTACAGCATTCTGTTCCATCCCCTCTGAAAAAGTAGAGCTAAGCAGCAAAGTAGATGGAAAAGAGGTGCTGTCACTGATTAATTGCTGTTAAAGTACAATAAAAATATGGGCTATTAAAACAAAATAAATTAATGTTTTGATACTGCATATTTGACCAGTAACCATTTTTTTTTTGTTTGGGACAAACAGTGATAGATTGTGCAGCAATCAATTATTCTAGATCAAGCATATTCAAATAATACATTGTGACATTCAGTAATTTGTTATTTGGAATAATTAGATGGTTACTTCATTGTAGTGCAGACAAGGCAGCTAATTTGTTTTTGATCTTTATAAAAAGGAAAGACTTCATTTGTTCAATGGAGTTGCTCTTTTTAATTAAAAAGGCTAGTTTTCTCATTTGCACTTTATATGAAAGTTGGCTTATAAATACATAATAGTACATGCAGAACGCTGACCAAAAATAAACATTCACATTTGGATTGTTCACTGTTGCCTTTTTCAGCGAGGAAATGAAAGTTCTTTTGAATCCTCAGTATCTGGAACATGATGCCTAGTAAGTTTTAACAACTTTCTTTACATTTAATTTGCTCTTATTTTTAATACATTATTTAACACCAGGTTTCTGGGTTGTTCCCTTTCAGTGCAATGTTCACACGTCTGATGAAAACTGCAGAGCATTGGTTTTCAACTTTTGAACATGACAGTCAGAAGGTAAATATTGCTTTAAAATGTATTGATTGTATTTTTAAGCTAATACGATTTTTAGTATGGTTGAAGTAATTCAAACCTAATAAGCCATCTCTTAAAACAACTTGGTTGAAGCAGTCTCAGTCTTTAAAGCATCTTCAGAATTTGGTCGAAAGCAGTTGTGGAAAGTCTGCCAGGTGAGAGTTCCTATCTGTTGAAAGATGACTTGGTAATCAAAAGCCAAGTGTGCAAACTGAGATTTTTCTATGTATAAGTGATATGCTTGTGTAGCATTTGAAAGAGTGCACTTCTGTATGCCCAAAACCTGTGCAAATGTTATGTTAAATAAATGCTATAGGCAATGTTTAACTTATTGAGGCTCTAATTTTTTCAGTTGTTTACAATATAAACAATTTGCTGTGAAACCAAAGCTTTAATCATAGACTGTCCAGCAAAGGTCAAGGTGCATCTTTCCCTGACATCATCACTCCATTTCCTTACTTTTTTTTCTTCTTGACCTCAGGATATTTAAACAGAGGCGTTATCTATGCCCTTATATCTCCTGTGTAGCTGTACAGACACCACTGTATTTAATAGGTTGCTGCTTTTCATAATGCAGTCTTTTCCTGTGTTCTGAGTTTAGTTCTACAGAACTCTCAGGGACCCTCTAGAGACCATCTAATCCTTGCCTGAAACTGCTCTTTCGTGTGTGGCATGAGGGGCAATTCTCTTAGTCAATTGCTTAAGATTTCCTTTGAGTACTTTTTTTCCCAGTCTCTTTCTCTCTTTACATTTCTATCTTTTTTTTATTCTGAAAAATTATTTGTGTGATGGAGTGTACTTAGAAGACCCTAGCAAAACATAACCATATGACAGGTTTGCCTCCAAACTCAGTTCCAGTTTGATTCACTTAAGCATTTTTCACATAGACTATGGGGTGAGTATCTAAAGTTAAGAGAAAATTAATAAGAAATTAGTTTGGTTTGGGTGTCCATACATGTGCACCAAAACCTATATTTGCAAACTGTACTTAGGAAGCAGTAGTTTGAATGGTGTTTTTGTCTGTCTGTTGAAGAAAAAGATGTTCATCCAAGACTCACATAAAAGCATCTATTTTCTTTAAATATTTAAATGTATCTGTGTATATATTTTATTAGATATGGAGCATCAGCATCTTGGCCTAAGCTATCTACAGTTATAAATTATTATTTGGATTTTTATATAATTCTCAGTAGCTAAGGATAAAGCATATGAGATACAAATTTTATGAACTTACTACATAGTCACTTTTATTTCAACAACAAAGCTGTGAGACATGTTTCTCTGAGAGTGTAGCTTTTCAAAATTCAATGTATTCAAATGTATTTGTTCCAATTTCTGTGACAGAGGTGGTAAAGTCTGAGGTTGAATTTTATTCCAGGAAATAACTAGGTCTGCTTACAGATTTGCAGTGCTTGGGTAGAAGGTGAAAGTTTACATTGCCCTTTTCAGTCCTTTCCTGGCATAAAAAATTAACAATGCGAAGAGCGTGGATTAATATCTAGTTGTTTGTTCTTGTTCTTTGCAAACATGTATAATCTTTAATAATCCTTTCTTGTACATATGCCTTTTACAATCATGACTTTGAGGGTTAGCTACATAATAAAGTTTGAATCTTCACAAAGGAAGCAATGAAACCATGTGCTCTGAGAGACATGTTACATTTTATAGCCTCTAACAGTTGGTTCCATTACTCCCAATTGCCATTAGAGAAGCTTCTCCGGGTACTCCATTCCCTAGTGGTTGATGAGATAAATCTGTCCACCATTTATACTTGTACTATGTCCTAGCCTCTCTTTACTGCTCTAGCATTTGTTTCCTAAATGCATGAGTATATAAATTGCCTTAGTATCAACTACCAGCCACTCCAGTTCGTGTTGTGTTAGGTAATGTTTTGTGGCAGGATTTGGTGACTCTGTTCCTAATACTTGTCTAAATTTTTCAGCTGCATTTTACTGGTATTCATATTTAAACTGTTCTTAGAGGTGAATCTGATACTGTCCTACAAACAGTATAGCACATTTCGAGCTGTCCCTCTTTTTCTCCTTTTATTGTGAACTGCATCCTTTTGGGATTGATCATTTATATTTCATGATAGCAGTAGATGACTAAACACATGCACTCAATTTTTCTTCCAAGACTTAAAGGCTCACAAAAAGAAAACAGGTGTTCTGTCTCATGTGGCAAATTAATATATAGTAACTATGGGCAGGGGCACAGTATCATGTTGTCTACTTGGCTTCTGTGCTTTAGGCACAGGCACTGTGAGTCATTTCTAGTTAAACATTTTTGTGGCTTGGTTGTATTAGTTTATTTGAGCATCTTTCTGTTTGGGCTGTTTCTTTCACACCAGCTATGTGATTTTTTTGGAGCAATTTCAACTGACTAAAGGTATTGTCATTTTCTCAACCGAATTGCTTGAGAGAGACAACAGACATGACATCGTTGACTCTAGTCATCCACCAAACTTCTTGGTGGAGTGCAGTGAGTCAGGAGGCATGGACAGGCAAGGCTTTGTTATTGGTTGCAGCTGCTGTCCTCACAGATTCTGTCATGCTTTGAAAATTTCTGTTAATGGGGTTAATTTCTGAGATCCTGATAAATTTCATTTTGATGGATACCATTTACTTATCTCATGCTTGTAAGAATGGCAAGACAGCATATACTATTGGATGCACTTAGCTATGTTTGATAGTCAGTCAGTCTGACAGTCAGCAATGTGTCAGTGCTGCATTATGCCAAGGTGCACAAATGCTGCAAGTGACAACTCCAGTTTTGGCACAGAGGAAGCTTGCATTAGTTTTGATACTCAGAATCTTTCGACACTTGAGCCAGTATTTAATAGTCTATCTTGCAATTTTGTAAAGATGGCTTTAAACCCACAGGCAACTAATGATGTGAAGACTAAGCTGAGTAACTAGCTAGTCTTCTTCTATTACAGGTTCAAATAAGTAGATATATTCTGGTGTTGAGATTTCCATACAAGATTCTATGACTATAATCAAGAAAATCTTAGAAACACAGATCTTTTGAGTCATCAGAGTTACGAATGCATGCAGTGGTCAAGCTGAAGTTAAAGTTAACTTGAATAAACCAGACAGAAGTTCATATCCCAAACATGTACCAGCCGATAGAACATGCACAGTCTATGAATATGTAGAGTTACAGGCTTTTATGATTGGTTTCAGATATAAATTTATATGTTTATGCTGAAAAATTACTCTAGACTGGCATTTAACATTAAGGCAGTGTTATCATACTGTAAGAGTGGGTTTCTATGTAGAAGGAGATTAGTCGATACCCTTTCCCAGTATTTTTCATCCTAGCATATGACCAAGAAAATAATGAAATGGGTCTGAAACTATGGGAAATAGCCATACAATGGAGAACTAAAAATCAGGATAGAAATAAGTCTGCCTAACTTGGTAATAACTAAGCTAATAAAATAATTTGAAAGAGGAGGTTGGAGAAATATCTAAATGTGCCTGCAACTGTGAAGAACTTCAGTATTTAACCTCGTATCAATATTGCTTACTAGCTTCTAAGATGCTGTGTGTTTTATTTTAAATTCCTATTTGTTGGAACAGAAAAGATTTTGAATGAATGCATGTCATTCCAGTGAGCTCTGTTTGACAGTCTGAGGGAGCTTTTGTCAAGCGATTTGCTAGAGCATCTCAAATGAATATGTCTTGGTACCACAACAGCATGGCAAAACCACCACACTGCAATAGACAGATCAGTCCCTTTCCTGCAATTGCCATAGCAAAGCAACAATTAAGCAGATTTTAAGATACAATTTATAATCAATCAGATTCTTAAGTAAAAATATTTTACCTGAAATCACTGCTCAGCATCATGCTCTATTTTCTGCAGTAGATAAATGAAATACTTAAGAAAAAGGTATTTCAAGCAAAGGAGATCAGCATAAAAAATAGGCTTTTGGGTAGAAATTATTAAATGTTCACTGCCCACTTGAATGCTAAACCATGTTGTAAATGATTTTGAAATATGGGTCCTTAGCTTCCTGTCTCTTAAAATGCTGATAGGGATAGAATGAGGCTGAAAAGGGAATATAACCATAGGAAATAACCTTGGGGATAATTTATACCACAAAACCAAACTTTCTTTGTTATTGAAAGTTAAAAATAATTCTCTTTTCACTCTATTGAGCCAAATGGATCTGTCTTTCAACAGTTTAAGCTGTAATGAAGTCTCCTGAAATTATTAACCCTTTGAGCTTGATAATGTTCTTTATCAATGTATTGGGTAGAAAAACAAAAGTTTTTTTGAGTGAATCTTTTGAGTCAGAACTCATGATGACAGAGTGCAACAAAGTCATTGCAAAAATCTTCTCTTCTTACTGTCCCAATTTTCCTTCTTTTATAACTTTGACGTTGTTCCTGACAGCTTAATTCTCTACTTCCCTGTCCCCCTATCTTTCTCTTGATAGGTTTGACTTGTTCTTTTTTATTTCTCGTCCTCCTTTTTACATGTTTCCTATTCAACATGATTCCTTACTTGCTGCATTTCTTTCTAGCATTCTGGCTCCTTTTCAATAATAATACTTCATTCTTTTGCAAGAAGAACTAATTTAAACCACTATCATGTTCAAGGATCCTAATACTCCACTAGTCTTCACGTGGTGTGTGTCATGTTGTAGATCATGACATAGTTTGCACAAGATGTAGGTCCAACCAACTGCCTTCTCTAACCATCAGGTTCATCTCACTGTCCTATTTCTGTTTTCTTTTAAAAGTTTTCTGATTCTTTATCAGTGCTGTGTAGATTTTGAGGTACAGCTACAGATTTTCTGAGCAAGGGAAGCCTGTTAAAAAAGGATTGTTTGAAAATAAGTTATTTCCTATTTGTTATGCAATTTATTGTCCTCTGAGGGCATATATTCTCTACTGAGTTACCATTCATCTGCTTTGCTCTGGACTGACTCAGACTGCTGATATTAAAGCTAAAATAAAGCTGTCAACACTTCATCAGAGCATGAAAAGTAAAGCATGCACGTAAAAATTGATGTGCAGAATGAGGGGCACTCCTTGGCACTCCTGGGAAGGGGAATCCCACAATACCTTCACAGAAGTGGATACTTGAGATTCCTCTTTTGATGTAAAATAAATGAGCTATTGCTATGTTTATTTGAGAGCCAATGATTACAACAAATCAAATCTCCTGTACACAATCCCTTTTAGAAAATAAGGCTTCATGCGATGTTTTTTTCCTCCGTTTTCTGTGTCTGCAGGACAAAGATGTGATGATTACCCCTATGCCATTTGCAAGGCCACAGGACTTAGGCCCATCTATTGCTATTGTAGCAAAGGTAAATCAAATTCAGGATCATCTGCTGAAGAAACATGATATTGAGCTGTACATGCATCTGAACCGACTGGAAATTGCTCCACAGATTTATGGATTGTAAGTGTTTGCAAAGCATTGTTTAATTTAATTGTTTCTCTTTTTTGTTTCATTATATTAGGATTTTTTCCCTTAAATTTTGCATTAGAGGAATGGAACTAAAAATAAGTATTTATCTCTTAAAACTTATTTGATTTGCAGCATTACAGTAAATTGTAAATGACACCCCACTGTTATATTTGTGACAGTGGTATTCCCAGTGCAGATAAGGTCCATTCAGCTGCATATTGGAGACCCCGATGGAGGCTCCCATTGCAGTCTGTACTTACATACTGAATCAAGTACATAGTCTACCTGTGGTTTTCCTGTAAGAACAAATGGGATAATAGGACCCAAAGAAGGGGAAAGGGGAAAATTATTATCACTGAGTGGTTTATTCACTTAATTTTATCACCAGTTCAATATGAACTTTTCTCTATTGTGATAATGGGATTTTGGATACTGGTCATACAGGGTGGGGCATGTTAAAAGCTAAGGCATGGATATAATAAATTGTCTGTATACAACGTCAGCCCAGGTAGTCCTCTTTCCATGAAGGTGGTTCGTGTCCGCTCAGCTGGTTGTGTGTTGTATACCCCAATTCCAGGGGGGCTTATTGGGCCAGATGTGACTTTGGATATGGCCTTATTCATGTGTTTGTGCAGCATTGCATCCAAAGCAGTTATGGCTGATGTAGTCAGTCGAGGCCAATGTAGAGTGTGCAGCTTGGATGAATCATGAGTAACTGTGGATTGAGTGTGGTTTTGAAGAAGAATTTTGCCTTTGTCATCTGGCTTTCTAGACATTTGATTCATTTTGATCATTCCTTAAAGAGTTGGCAAGCCATATGTGCAGTTGCAGTGACAGAAAAATGATGATTTTTTTTAAAATTATTTTTTGCAATGGTTTAAAGTAAGATTGGCTTTGCCTTACATAAAAAATATAAAATCATTTATAAGTTTGAATTTCCAAATGCAATTGTGGATTGCATTTAACAACTCAATAGAAAATGTAGAAAGAAAGGAAAAGGTGACTGTAAATGTCAGGGCATAACTGCAATACTTAACATTGAAGTCTAATTAGATGTTATTGTAAAACAGAAAAATGCTGCAACATAGTATACTCTCAAGAAAAGAGCTGGACTAAGACTAAGTAGTGGTCTCAGGCTTATTAATAACTTATGTTAGGAAGACAAATGTAATTCCACAAAACTTATTTAAACACATTTTATAGGTATGAGTTACAGGATGAGGAAAAATAAGCCAAGTAAACTCAATGTATTGAAAGTACAAAGAGGACAGATTGCCCTATTGCAGTATTTTTTGCAAAGTGTAGTGTTGTGTATTCTCTTAACATCTTCACTAGTCTGGAAGAGAAAGTAGGCATCCCTAATAAACTTCAGGGGTAGTAATGAATAAGTAGGCAGTATAAATATCAAGGAAAACAAAAAGACAGTGTTTCCTTTTTATGAAGGCTTATGAAAACACACAGTAAATAAAATAACCTAAATCTCAGAAATTTGCAAACAGATATTTTGGGGGGAAAATAATTTGTACTGTAGGTATTCACTTCAGTTTAAGATTTTGCCTTTCAGTAAGAGAAGTAATTGAAAGAAAAAATTATACTTTAGCTCAAAACATAACATTATAATAACAGAAGAATGATGCAGTCTAGTGTGGCATAAATAGAACTAAATCTGAATAAAGAAATTTACAGTTAAGAGAATGAATTATGAGAGAGCTTCAGGCTGACTATCAGGAAAACCTTACTAACAGGGAGCTGTTAGACTGTAAAGTAATATATCAAAATTAACAAAGGAAAAACCATCAGAATATTTTAAAGACAGGCTTTGAAAAGCTCTCAGAAATGGGTAGTATCATAGAGACAGAGTCTGCACTGGCAGAAGAGGAAAGTAGGTTGCCTATGAGGTCATATCCTTCTCTGATTTCTGATTTAATATAGAGGACAGGAGAAAAAGAAAGGGAAAGGAACATGACTGTTTTGTATTATTCTCACCTTTAATGATGTCTGAACTCTTCAGAGTAGTATTTTCCAGTAGTGAACCAGCTGACAGTCTCAGATGCTGAATCTTTTCCTGCATTTAACATTTCTTGAACTAGAAACAGCATTTCTTAAACAAGATAGGTTATTAATAATTGCTAAACCCAGCCCAAGTGCAGAATTCATGTGATCTTTTTGTTGAAGTATATTGTTTTGCTGAAGTTTGTTGGATTTGCCAACAATAAATATTCACCTGTCAGCCTTGATATCACTCAAAAAATGTACAAATGGTAGAAGGAAAACTGGGATCTTCTTTCAAAAGATATTATGATGTTCCTGAAGAAAAGGATCGGTGTGAAAGGCTTGTATTTAGTGGCAATGTCCCCTAACCTGAACAAGTTATACAGTTTTCTTATTTTAAAATACAGTATTTTATACTTTACATCCTTCTATAACCTTCTGGGGCAAGGTAGAAACAATTCTTTGTATTTTCATGGAGTTGTTTTCATCCTTTGATTATTATAAATAGTTCTTTTTATTTTTCAAACACTAGGGAGACTTGTTCTGCTGGGAGGTCAGGCACCCTAGCTGTTTGTACATTTCCATGTCCAGAAATTGTCCTTGGAAATAAAATGTGGTTACATGCTTCCTGAAATTATGCTTACCTGCTTACAAGACCAACTGTAACAGGTATTTCAGTACATGTGGTACAACTCATTAATTTTGGTTGCTGCCCAGTAGTGCAAAGGTTGTGTGCAGGTTTCGTGGAAAAGAATACTCAGCGTTTATCATATCAATGTGATAGATCTTTAGTTTTTCTTCTTCAGTTAGTCATTAGCCTTAACCAGGTGTGCCAGGCTGCATACCGGGAGGTTCTGCCAGTTGAGGAGAAATCTTTTTTTTAGATAGTTTTATGTGTTACAAAATTTTAGCTCAAGGCAATAGATTACCTTTTCTTCCAGAGGGCATCAGTGAACAGACTTCACATTACCTGGATATCTCATTTCATTGCTGATCAGAAAGAGAACCCGAGGTATACTGGGCTCCTGGCTATACCATACTTCTGTGCTCAAGTTGGTGTCATAGGGAGTAGCAGCCTTAGCATAGGAATTTCTGTAGCTGGAAATTTTGTGAGACCACACTTTCATTCACTCGCTGTCAGCTGCTGCTTATTCCTGTGATAATTATTCAGCTGCTATTAATACCAGCCAAAATGGAACCAGCGATACAGAGATAAGGGCTTTGTGCCTTATCATTCTTCAGTCTTCTTTCTTTGCCATGTCTCTAGCTTGTTATTAGAACCCAAGATAATGTTTTGCAGAATAACATTGTTTCACATTCCTGGTAGCGCTGCAAATAGTGTACAGTCTAACCAAACTATAATAATTATCTAGGCATATCTAATTTAGTACTTTGTGAATCAAGTACGAGAATGGTTTGAAAATAAAATGGAATTGGTTGCAGTAACAGTTCAGTGACATGCTTCCTGATGTCTTTTCTCTAAATAAAACCCCCCAAAAATACTAAGATTGGACAAAAAAGAGTGGATACTCTGAGAGTTGACAGGTTGAATATTCCGTTTAATTGTAAAACTAGATGACTTAACAATGATTAATGTCCTAGATTAAATGGTACTCTGATGTTAATTTATTTGACCCCTTCATCTAATTCTTGTTAAAGTACAAAATAATTATTACAAAACCATTCTGCATTTTCTGCAGTGGCCAGTGTTTGCAGTGACAAATTAAGCAGGTTGTGTTCTCAGCTTGAGAAAGGACAGGAGTTGAGGGAAGTCTTCATACACCTGTTTTTTTAGGATATTTTCTTCCATTTATAGTAATTTGTAGTAGAGGACTTCTTTTACACTTCACCAAAAAGATGAATCAATTGGAAAAGTCCCACATAATATCATTATTACTACTTTATTTTATGTACTGAGGGTGAATTATATTGCATCAAATGAATTTCTCATAGGACTGCATGAACTAAGTACAGCCAGATAATGTAACCATATATGATACAGTTGCATAGAAATAATGCACAGAAAGATAATGACAAGGCATAAGCATAAAAAGCTTTATTTAAGAACAAAAATTAACCGTTGGCATAAACTCACTAGCTTCTGCATTGTAACACTGATGGCAGTATTTTATTGGTAAAGCAAACTCTTTCTAAGCACATATCCAACAGACAATAAAGCACATGCAGAAGTGAACGTAAATATTTCATGGTAGCTTAATCTCAGTACAAAAACGGCCTTCTTAGAACATTCAGCGCCGATGACTTTGCCTCCCGCTGCCACTCTGCTTTGTGATGATCAATCAGATAGACATACTGCTTACTGCAGTTTGAGATGCAGTTTCAGCCCTTTAGGCTGATGCCTCCATTATACTTCAGGAAGAAGCCTATCTCATGAAGCAAAGAAACAAACAAAAGAGAAGGATACAAACTATGTTGCATGGTAACTAGACACAAGTGTAGATTTGAAGATAGCATTAGAAAGGTTATGTTACAGTGAAGTCAACAGCAGATGTGCTGCTCCACTATTACTATCTTAGTTGCTTTGCTATGAGCACTGCTGTGGGGCATCCACCTGTTTTAGTTTCTTGCCCATGCCATTATGGTACCAGGCAATATTCTTTTCCATAACCATATTGGTCTCTGGAGGGAGAATTTAAAGGTTTTTACCTGTGCAGTAAAGGAACATAAATCATACCCATTTGGTCTAAAAAAAAATCCTACTAGTCATCAGAATAAGAAATCTTCATGATCTGCAGAAAAAGATTAGTCTTTCAAAGGAGAACTTTGCAGATCGTCCAGGATGCCTGAATTTATTTTGGATTCTCACACTTCACCAAAAAAAAGAGAGATAATATATGGCATGATCCAAACCCATTACAGTTCCTCTGTAGCTTTTAATCCAGTGTCATCAATCAATTGGACAGCAATTACAGCGAAAGCAACTTTGAGCTATTGTGCATATAGTAGGGGAACCACCAAAATCTGGCCCTGCTATTAAA